TTTCAAAACGTTCTGTTGGATTTTTGTTTAATTTTGAATAACTTTTGTCATTTAAAAGTTCATTAATTTTTTGATCATAGATATTATAATCCATATTGACGGTCGCATTACCTTTATCAGCAGGCAAAATTTTGATTGTTTTATCTTTTTTTAAAGACATTAATGCTTTTTGCTCTATTGAATATATAAAATATTTAAATCTATCTTTGTTCAAGCGCTTTGTAAGCGTTCAAGCAAACCACCTCTGAAGATGCAAGCCACTCGTGCTTGCGAAACGTCAGCAAGAAATTCCAGTTTCATTCATAAATTCCCAATTGTTTGGGCACAACACTGAGTTCTATCGATCGGCAASTCATGGATGAAAAATGGGCCTGCAWATATTCATTTAAATTCGTTCTGTTCGTGCGATGCAAACAAATGCACGCTTACCCTTATCAACCATGAAAAATCCGTYGAACTCAATGGGAAAACCTGAGAAAATCCAGCAAAACTTTGCTACGCAACTTTAAAGTATGTCATCAGACATTATCGGGGATTTAATTAATGTTTGCCCATACATAATCCGCAGGCATTGACATTCTTCCCTTATCGCTCAACGAAATCATTGCCAGATATTCGATCTTTCTAGTTAATTTTCCCGGTGCATAAACGTAAAGCGAAAACTTCATATGCATGCAACTTCAAGTTTGATGGTTTGACTCGATTGAACGGGCTCTCGTTGCTGTTTCAGCGCAATTTCCCCTGCCAACTGAGTGTGGAACTTCACCTGCGACAACTTTATTACCAACTCCCACGGCGTATGCAGATGGAAAAAGCCAAGAAATTGCATTGTTTCAATTTGCAGCTAAATCCGGAATTTCAAAGATTATTTTTTGCCGGGTTTGGACCAGGCTTATAATGGCAGGATTTAGGAATTAGTTGAAGGATTAACCGACTTGTTTATCGCACTACTTTGTCAGTCAGTTGGAATGCTTCAACTAAATAAAATTAACAACTGTTCAACTGATCATCGTCAATGGAATTTTAATGTTTTTGACTAAAAAATTACCAAATCGCCTTCTCGCAGGAACAACGAAGAAACCCCTAAACATCGTTGTTTGAGTCAAGCACCTATTGAACCTCTCAAGCCATAGAGAGTCGAATTTTCGATATAATTCAGTTAAAACTAGGGAATTATGCCTAAAGGCGCCCTTTGGGGAGTCGTAAAAAGTCAAAGCGAGTTAAACGAAACGACTCTCCATCCCTCGGGATATATCAGTTAGTTGGGGGCAATGCGATTCGCATACCAGTGAATCCGGCAGAAATTCAAAAATTCCCGCAACTTCCCAACTCAATTGGGAAACTTCCCCGAAACTTACTGGGAATGGCAAAGTTTGATAAATCGTACTTTCACACGCCTGGGCACTTTGGGGGGTTTCAGTACCTGCCAGGAAACGGCCCCTTTTTTAGTAGGTGGCATGGGCACATATCGATTACCCGTCCCGATGACGAAACGTAGGTGTTCGCAGGAAACCCGCCGCCCCCTCATTATTAAAGGGTGGATATCCGCATGAAACAACTTCCGGAACTTCGGCTTTCGCCAACAAAAAATAAATACAAATTAAAGGGATTTTCCGGGATGGGGATTGCGTCCGGTTGGGGATTAGCCCGGATTCTCTTCTGGCACCTGAGATTTTATCGGAGCCTCAGCTGAATCAGAATGGATCTTGATAGGCTGCAAGGGTACTTAATTATTAGCCCTTTTCAACCAAAAAAAACGAAGAAAAGTTCTTGGTGTTAAACAGCCATGAAATTTGTGAGAATCATTGCAAAAGAAACCGCTTTCAAGCCTCAAATCCACTGCTGCTGGCAATTTGTCATTTCACACCGAATCTGGAATTAGTTGGCCGATAACTGGTTGGCAAAACAGCGGTCCGACGTCTTCGAAAAATTCTAATTAAAGTCGGCATTCCTCTGTGAAAAGGTAATTATCTCAGTTGTTCTTCGCCGCGTTGGCTGCGATGCCCAACAGACGACAGGACTCCTTTATTCAACCAACCAGTCGATAACCGAAGCGTATGAGTCGGAATATCGATTTCGGATCGATTCTCCAATTGCAATGGCAATTTGTTAAGAAACTGTTCCAGTTTCACCAGGAAATTGCCACTAGAAATCGAGTCGCAGATGAATTTCAGATGTCGATTTTTTTAATTGCGCAACTTTTTTCTGTCATCGGCTAAAAAGAGCAACTAAATGAATATTTGGGCCATTTTAAACGAAATAATGCACATATTGAACGTTTACATTCTTTAAGATGCGTGAATCTTTCAAACCTTCCAGTTGCTCTGAAGCCGTCAGAACCAATCAGTTATTATTAAATTCTTTAGCTTTTCAGCTAATGGTTTTTGCAGCACATTTGAGAGAATTTTTTGTTTGTTTCAACTAAAGCACGCGCGCATTTGTTTGCTTCGGTCGATCCAAACGAATGCAAACGAAAAGTTGCAAATTTAAACTTCAAATTCATAGAAAAACTTGGGTAGCTGATGAGAAAAACTCAGAGAAAACTGTTGGCCTAGAGGCGGACAAATGGAAAAATACACAACTTTCAACAACGGTTTGCCAACCCGGGTCTTGCCTCAAGACGGGGGAAAAACGCCAAAACTTCACAAGAAGCTAAGTAATAAGGAACGGGAACGTCCGACAAAGAACAACGATTGACTATTGAAGAAGCAACAACGCGAATATTTCCCATACACTTTTAAAAAAATAGTGGACGACCTGAAGAGGCGTGTTCAAGTTAGTTTTGAGCCCAAAAAATAGTCTTCAAAAAAAGAATAAAAGCTTTGCGTGCAACCGCCAATAACTTCACGAAAAATGAGGATCTGGACATGATGCTAACCAACAACATTGTGAGCACAAATAGGCGAAACTTCAACTTTATAACTGTGTAGCAGTGATTTACACAATTCACATTATTTACTTTCATAAAATCAAAGCGTGGATCGTCGACAATGTGATCAAGCTTTTCCATGCTCGGATGCCAATAAAAACTGCCAATTATCAGCCGTTTGATGTTGCAAAATCTATAACATGCAAAGCACTGGCGTTCCAAACGGCAAGAAGGAATTTGCGCTGAACGCGATCTTTGATGTTTCAATTTTAATTATTTTGTTGGCCATCCGAAACAGGGCTGCTCTACAGCATTGGGATGTAC